CCAGCATGCTCTGTACCAGAAGCATCAGCGAAGGGCAGCAGCCGGCTCCCTGGGAGCTGGTGCGCTCCAGGAGCTAGGTTTTAAGCCAGCTCCCGGAACAGCACACACCGGCTCCCAGCGCACACCAGCTCTTGCCTGCCACCCTGCTTCCAAGGAGCTGACTGCTGCCCTGCGCTGCTGCCTCTGACACAGGAGCCGCATGCAGCTGTTTGGGTAACTGCTAAGCTCATGCTTATTGGCTACCTGTTTACACGCAGGACTGGATTACCCAATAGGCAGACTAAGCACGTGCGTAGGGCACAGCAAAGCAGGGGCACCCCAAAAAATGAGATTTTACGGTATAGTATTGTTTTTATTTTGAATTCCATATGGGGGGACACCATCATCTTTTCAGTGCTTAGGCCCTCTAACGGTCTTAATCCGGCCCTGTTTACACGGCTACTCTCTCACATCCCTACTGGAGTGAGGATCGTTTTCTCTAGGTCCGACTACTCTCAATAAGTGGCAAACTCGCCTCCTGTTGTGTCGCACACCACCGCATTGCCTCTCCGCCCTCCTCTCCCAACCGCAGAGCGTGGCGCAGTTTCTTTCCTCCCGATAGGCTCCGACGAGCCATCCCCTCCCCTGTACGTCTTACAGATGTTGTCGGCAGCTGGCTGCATTTGCCGCACACACAACACGCCCCTCCCAGAACCTACCCACTGGAAATCCCGGGCTTTGGAGATGGGAAGGGGGAGGTGGAGAACCCCAGCATGCTTAGGCGCATGGCTGCAGCCCTTGCCGGCGCTGCTGGAGGACGCGCCCGACCCGGAGCCTACAGGGCTAAGGAGAAAACTCCTGCCACGGAACAGGCGCTAAATCCCCCATTGGCTTGGGGAGACCCAGCCCAGGGCAGAGCTCTGCTTGGGGGGGGAGATTTCCTGCTAAATGAACTGGGTCAGCTCCCTTTCGAGAGACGGGTTATTTTCAGCTCGGCGCGCTGACAGAGCGAAGGGGGGCGCGCAGGGCCTGGCAGAGAGGGAG